TATATATATATATATATATATATATATATATATATAATCAAGATGGCAGCTGTGATCATGGCCATCTTAAGTATTTTGACACCTTCTCTGGACATGTCTCCATAGTCCTTTGGCAAAAGTCATGGCGGTTGAATACAGTTGTCTATCTTTCTTTGATTTATAGTAAGAATAGGTATAGTTTAGGCCAATGTTTCTCAACCTTGGCAACTTACATCTTTTACAGAGTTCTGTTTCTAAGTATACTTTCACACTTTACATAAATTCCTTTGCTTTCAACACAGCTCACGTCTGGTTGAAATTGATGGGTTTTGATTTTCCTTGATTCTTCATTCTCTGAAGACTGGTCACCCAACTTTTTCGTCTTTAACAGTGGTGCATATTTTCAATACTCTTAATTCTACTATGCCATAAAATCTGCTCTAGTCAGTGAATACTCCTAATGCTGCCAATATAACATTTAAATATTTTTTTAGCCTGCAAGACATGCAATGATTTATATATATAAAAAAAACTTAGAATACACACACACATGAAGTGGCTTTTGAGGTTTAACTAAAAAAAAAAAACCTTCATGACCACAGACCACCTCAAACCAGAAATACCTCAAAATTTTCTACTTGTATGAGTTTTATTATATATTTTGTTAGTTGTGTTATCTTGGGAGTATGTAAATTTTAACGTAAGTTGGCTTTTATGAAAAGGGAGTTTTAAAAAAAGAAGAAGAAAAAAGAAAAAATTTCCCCAATCTTTTAGAAAATGCTACCACTTCTTTTCTTTTTCTTTCTATAAAGCACCATTGTAAATACGTGTAAACAATTTTAGAGGAATTGACTATACAAGATTCCTGGACATATTCACCATTACTTGTGAAGGCTTGTTTCCATTTTAAAAAAAAAAAATTGGTGGGAGTAGTAGGAGCACAAGTTGTTTTTAGCAAAGAATTATTAGTACAGCATTTCCTTTATTAAATATTTTCCCCAGGAGATGCTAATCAAATTATTTTCTTTAGATTTGTTATTCAGCTATTGGTTGACTGACACCCGGTTAACGCAATACAAATTTTATCGTTCAGTAAGAACACAAAGGTTGCGATGCAATTCCTTTTCCCAAAGCATTTTAATTAATTGTAGGAGAATATCAAGAGAAGCTTTTCTAACAAATAAAGAGCAGCAAAAGGAAACTAATCTTGCCAAGTGGGCGTGTGGAAGCAGAGGTGCCCAAAACAAACTGCCTTTTTTGCTTTGTAAGACAAGAGGAGAGTTGCTTTTGATTGCTTATGAATGTGTAAAAAAAAACCCAACAATCACTCTGCATGATTCTTGTATCTATTTCAAGGGGGGAAGAATTGAAATTTGTGGTTTTATCCTTTTCTTGGGAAACAGCTGCCTCTCTAAATATTGATGCTTCTTCTCTTTGCTCAATGCTTGAATCTCTAAACTATTTAAGGTAACCATGAGCAACCCTGAAATACGTTAGGTTTGCTTTTGCATAAGTTAAAATTAATTGAGGAAGATGAGTTAATTTATTACTTCAAGAATGGTTGAAGATGGCAAATGCAGACACCTTTTTCTGAACTTCAGGAGTGGGCTTCTGTTAGGGAACAAGTGGTGACATGTATGTGATCATACAGATGCCATAATGTATATATTTTGTCTCAGGTGTCCTGCAACTTGTACATAGTGGTGGCATTTGCAGAATTACATCACCGTGCAGATGTCATTTTGGTGTCACTGCAGCTTCTGCAGGCACCGTGAACTTCTTGGGGATTTATTCAACATTTGTTGGCGACTAGTATGTTAAAAGACTAATTTTGCATACGATTGAAATAGTATAATAGTTTCATTGGTCATGGACTGTCCATTTTTTTCCGGAATTGACTTTTATCGTTTTTCACTCTGATTTATATCAAGATTAAGCATCTGCTTGATTCAGAAACCTGATTTGGCACTGGCTCTATTAAGAAAAAAACAATCTTAAAAGAGTCGGTGATTTAATGCATTCAGAATATACAAGAAAGTGGTTGGCACATTTGCTCTGCAAAGCCTCAAGCCACCGTGGAGACTCAAACTAAGACAACATGGGGACCTACCCATGTCTTGTGACTTGCCAAGTTATTAGCAACTCCTTTGATTTTTACAGTCTTGGTGTAAGCAATTTTTTGAGCAGAGACTATAATTTTACATACGGGAGTAGCAGGCTTTATTTGGAAGGCTACCAATTAGGAGGCCTCATCAAAGTTCTAATTTATGTCTTTATGGATGATAATGTTGCCCTTAACAACAGAGGCTTCAGGAAAAACAAAGTGAAGGAAAATAGATCCATTAAGATGAAATAAACCTTGACATCTGACAGTCAAGGTGGATGGTTAGCAGTGAGGAAGATACACAATGTTATTACTGCTGTGTTGTTTCAAGTGTTCTGTTTCCTGTCTCGCAGCATTATTCCTATAATGGTTAAAATAAGCTTGATACAGCAGTTGCTTTGCTTTTCCACTAAAAGTTTTGAGAAGCTTTAAAGTATTTATTGAAAGTGCCATATAGAGGTTGTTTTGTGATTTGTCCATTAGGAGTGTGTTATAAGTCCTTCCTGCATAAAGAGAGAAGCTGTGTCTGATCATAGAGCCAGGTTGAGTTAAATAAACCTAATTTTAAGCCAGATTGATTGCTTCTTAGTTACATTTCCTCGCATACAGATCATTGCCAGTTGCTTTGGTTGTGTGGTTAGCTATGATTCAAATGTGACCATATACATATTTCTTAGCTAATATATGTTGTCCATATCTTTTTTTTTTGTTAGCTTCTTGGATTCTCAGCCTTCCCAAATGTGGTACCCATCTCCTAGAATTCTCATACTGCATGGCCAAAACAGCTGTTGGCTCAAAACTCTGCAATCCAGACCCATCTGGCAGACTCCAGGTGGAAAAAGGTTAGCTTATAGCATCTCCAGTGTCTGACAGTCACATTTACCTACTCATGATGCAGTTTTCCTGTTGTGTAATCACATTTTTTCCTAAACAGCGCATCTTTTTAATATTCCTGGCCTTCAGTTGGTCTTGTACATTTAATGTTAAGAAAGTTCTTGATATAGCAATAAGGGAGCTCAGTCACAAGTGTAGCTATGCATACGAGAGAGAGAAAAATCCAAATAAGATTTGGTCTAAATATAACTATGCCATTTACCATAAGTGGTGGTAATTTGAATATATTTCATTTGCTGAAATAGGGGCCTTTAAAAAAACAACACAAGGCTATCCTTTACATAACAGTTAAGTGGAATTTTCTCCCTGATAAGGGAGAGGGTAGAAAGTTCCAGTTTACTTAATCTTATATTGTATTCACTCATCACATTAAGTCACAATGGAATTGGAGGGATGTGTTTAGTGTGATGTGCGAATCATAAAATTGTCCAATCCATGTCCCAATTTTTTTAAAAAATAGCTGCAATTTATATCTCTAGGATCAGCCTGTCCACATTGCTGTTTTGTTCCTTCTTTGGCATAAGGAAACTTAAATTAAAATCAACAGGCAAGTAAACTATCTATGCCCTTTTTTGATCATAGCAAAGAGACACTGCCAAATTTGAATTCTTATCCAGAAGCAGGGGAAAAATATTTTTAAGAACTAAAAGCACATTATATTTAGAGCCCTCGGTCTTATGCAACATTTTCACGATTATCCAATTGTCAATGACATACAGGGTTTCCTCATTTTTCAGTACAAGTGATTCTTTTTTTGCAACGTTAGCAATAGTGACAGGATAAAAATAGTTTGAAGCTTGTTTTTGACATTTATTAGTAAAGGAAAAGCTAATAACGTTTACCCCGTCCCACTTCAGATACACTGATATACCAAGGTTAGCAACAAAACATGTAAAGTGGAGAAAATCATATAGGTATAAGTTTTAATTTGGTTCTCCCAAATTCTTAACCATGATAATGTTTGGAAACTGTTCTGATAACTGAATGAAGTCAGGATGTGCTAAAGCAATATGCATGAGATAGAATTCCCCGAAGATGTGTTTTTTTTTTTTTATATCTCAAGGTAGTGATTTATTTTTATAGATATCTCAATTTTTGATTCAGGGATACATTCCTACATTAAACACAGTTTCAAATACATACTGAGAATTCCAAATAATAATTGTTTTGAGAGCCCCTAACAACTCGGCAACAGTAAAATCCAATAATCTAAGTAGGAATCCATGTTTTATAACAGCAATCACTTGGGTCTTTCTTACACTATATCTGGCTGACTTGGTAAGAGACAGAAAAAGAGACTGATGCCATTGCTACCTTCTAGCATTCTGTGATATAAACCCAATGTTGTGGTGCCATTTTATCTATCAATAATGTACGCATTGTGAGCTATATGAAGTAGAAATCTTAGGCAGTTCAGCAAAAAGCTTAAAATCAATTTAATGGTTTAAAAACATATGTATTAGTGTGAATGTGTTCTCCTTAATCTTTTCAGTAGATTCTGTTTTATGCATTTCTACTTTTTCTAGTGGTGAATCTATTGCCAGGCAATGGCACAGGATATAGGTCCACTATTTAATAATTGTTTCAGTGTCCGTTAATTAGTAAAAGGTGGATTTTCTAAAATCTGTTAGGTCTATGTGCTCTTTCTGAATATTTTTAAAGACTTGAGACTTGAGTTTAGTGTCCCTTAGTCATTAACACACCTGGCTATTTTAGTGGACACATCCTCAAGAAAGTTACCATTTCAGGTCTGATAGCTATGAATTGTAATGCTTTTCATTTGTGCCTTCATTTATGTTAATGCAAAGCAACTGCTGTAAACTCTTCTAAACTTTTTTTTTTCCAGTCAGGGTTAAGGTAAAAGTGCGGCTTAGAAGTTAGAAACTGCTTTTTGTAACTTTCTTATTTCTGGGTTTGATCTTTCATCCAATCTATTTGAGGATTTATCATCCTCAAATTTCACATTAATGCAATATTTCTTTCTGGATTCTTCTTAACAAACTAGCAGCGTTCACAACAAGAAATCATTCTAAAAATGAAGAAATTTGAGGGAGAGGGAAATGGAACGGATCCTCAAGGAGAAAAACCTGTAAAAATAAGCTGGTGGTTATTTCCCACAAAGATTCTTTGTCAAGTACACAAGTTTCTTGTATTTATGTAGTGGCAAGAAAAATGCTTCTTTTCTATAATACTTCGATTTCTACTGCTTCAGTTTTCTATTAGGATAAATTTCCTGATTATCTTGACAACTTTGCTTTCTACTTCTAATAGCAAAGAGGTCCGAAAGGATATCGTGACAGGATAATTGTTTTGGGAAAGGGGTGTGTAACAGATTGAGCACAGGAATTGTTTACTGAGCCCTTTAGAAAGGACTGGTCTACCCCATTCCTTTGTTACAGCAAAATAGAACATTACTATTGTCTATGGAATAAAAATCCATAGCATTAATTTCACTGATCTTGACTTGGTGGGGAACTGCACTTTTAAAAAATCTATTTATATATTCCCATAACTTTCAATGCTGGTCATCAATATATTGAAATAAAATCTTCCCATCAAAATTCAAGTTTGGTGGTACAACAGAGATTAATTTTCAAAGATGTATTTTTCTTTTTAAACATATAAGTACATCAATTATTAATATTTTTTCTGATGATGAGTGAGAGGAAAACACCCTCTCTACTAAAGCTACTTTTCATATTAATTTATATTGTTGGACACATCAAAGTGGTTACTATTCTTGGTCTCCAATACTATGCCCTACATTTACAAAATGGCAAGGGCCTTCAATCTTGCTGCTGTCCATATTTTAAAATGTAAATGGAACCCTACAATTTTTCACCTATCAATATATGTTGTCCCTAAGTTTGATGACTTTTCTAATGTAAAGTCAACCTAAGTACAATTTGTCAATTCTTATGGAAAGAGCTTTCTGTATTATTTTGTAGCATTAGAAATTTACACTAAATTTAAGAACAAAAATTGGAAGGAAAAACAAAACCCCCTAATTTAATCCAAATATTTGATATTCTTTTTTTCAAGGGTTTCTAAATTGGGAAGTTTATTCAAGGTAACCAGATAAAGGTCTTAAAATTACCTTAACATAGGTAAAAATGTGAATCAATTTTATGACAAATAGTTTCATCTTATTAATAAACTCCATTATCTGGCCTAACCAGGAGTTTGCTGGCTTCTATAAAATTTTCAGTTTTGGATTCCTAACAAACTTCAGAAATAAGAAGTAATTTAGGAAATACTAAATGCAGAAAGCTCTATCAGATGATGAAATAATTCAAAAGATTATCGGTCCTTAGCTCATATTCCAATGTACTGTTTGTATACCAAGATATGTGAAATGTAAATGTTGTGGGTTATATTTCACTCTAGTAGCTAAAAAGAAAAAAAAAGAATGTAGATCAGAGATAGCTTGTACTACTGAGTTAACAAAACATAAGTATCCACTTAAAAGAAAGAATTAAACAGGAGCTCATAACTGTAACCCCTTTTGAACTGAAAAAGTGTGCTGATTTTTATATATATATATATATATATATAATATTATATTATATATAAATATAGATATGCATATGTAAGATGGCCTAAAGAAGACATTCACTGTATTGCAATTCTTAAATGGAAATGTTTTGAAGCATTGTATCCTAATTCATGCATTTGCAATAGATCTTTGTTTCTTTTTACTGTTGTATTTTAGAAATGAGTCTCATGTTTGAAAATTAGATCTGCCAGTTTGGGTATCGCTACTTCAGCTAAGTACAGGGTGCCCAAATAAAACAGTATGAATGTAGTATTTTTGCCTTGTGTGAAACAGTTCCACTCCAGCAAATAGGGGGTGGAAATGTAGAAAAAACTATTTCAAAGTCTATCTTTTTCCTATATGAAAATAAACATTAAATGGCAAATTATCAATCTGTTTTGTGATTTTTAATTCTAATTCTATTGTTTTTCATCAAAGACAGATTTTGCAGTTCAGTAACATGCCACTGTGGCAAATCACCTATACAATACTTAATCATATTTGTGTAGCTGTTTCATTTATTCTAATTCCTGTAGCCATTCTTAAAACCAATGATCAATATTACCATACACTTCCAATGCAAGCATTTTACAATATGAATGGAGATTTAATAAATGGAAAAATTTGTGATGGGCAGAACAATTAGTAAGAATAAATTGATAATGTTGCAAAGAAATTCTGTGTTGAATATGGAAATCTCCAACTTCTAAAGTGGGCTTCATTGAGGACACTTGTACAGGTGATTATGTGTATCAAAACATAACACATTATATATTATCACATTTTAGATGGTTCACATTTAACAACTGTAGTTGGGACTTAACCTAGTTGTTAAGCAAAGCGGTCACTGAGTGAAAAATCCTAATCAACTAATTAAGATCACAGAACTGAGCTTGTTAACTTGTAGTAAGCACTTTTTAGGACCTACCCCCTCCATGGAGAAAAATAGGAAGATATAGCATGCTTATGCAATCTCTCCACTACTAAAGGAGAGTATTTGTAGCTCAGGGTTGACATATGGGGTCCTTGGTGCTCTCTGAGCATGGCTGTTTTCTTGCAGATGTTTCATTACCCAAACTAGGTAACACTTCTTACTAGCACTGCTGATGTTACCTAGCTTGGATAATAAATCATCTGCAGGAAAACAACAAAGCCCAAAGAGCACCAAGAATCACTCCCCTTTGCGAGGGAGGGGGAGAAAAAGGTCAGCACAGGATAATGCATACTGACCTGTTGCAAAGTTACTTTTTTATCACCATTGGAAACTCAGATGGTCATTGGAAGTTATCACTAGACAAAGACACTGTGAATTGTATGAAATTATTGCCTGGGATGGTCAGTCAATATTTCTCTCTTAATGATTGCAAAATAAATCCTGGTCTGGTTAGAACAGAAATAAAAGCTCAATTAAACAGGTATTTTTTAAATGACAAAAAAGAAAACAAGATAAAAATAAATACATCAAAGAAAACAAAGAAAAGGTTTTTTTAAAAAGTGGGAAAATGCAACAAAAAAGCGTATATCATTTAAGCAGTAAATAGTTGCAATTCTATATTCAATTATCTAATGCATTTAGATAATACTATTATTCAAGTACATATAAATTACTAATATAATTATAATAATGAGTTAGGTAAGTACCCCAGCTTCTTATTTTATCTCTAGTTTGATGGAATAATTTAAAAACGTCATGATTTAGATCAAGAATAATCAAACTTTTTTATATTCAGTGGTTATTTCTACACTGATTTAATAGTTGGCATATAATTTTCATTAGCTATATGCCACTAGAAAACTGGAACATGTTGCCTCTGTGATACGCACACTCTTCTCACACATAGTTTATGCAAGCCTGAATGGCTTTTTTGGCAACACCTACAATTACTAATTTCAGGGGAGATATCTCAAGCTTATAAAGTGTAAAGATAATTTTGATCAGGTATACTTCAACATTGGCACTCAAAGATCAATACATTTAATGTGACATTTTAACATCGGAATTATATTCTATTTCCATCATCAGATGAATAAAATGTCAGTTGATAAATACAGAAGTGAGAAAGTCAACTTGGACATATGAAGGAAGGTTGTAAATAATTAAGTGATGAAGTTCAAACGTTAAAAACTAATCAAATTTCACAACTGAAATGCACACATAAAGGTATCGACTATCCATTTAGGACCGTAGTGCTTGGCAGTTGCTATTGCTACATTTCAACTTTAATTGAAGATCTTTCACATTTTATTGCCACTTACTGGCTGTTCGTAATTTTTTCTTCTCACCCATGCAATCAATTATTTGATATTTACTTTCACCATGGGGATGTGAGTAATTAAACATGAAAAGCAACTAAGTGCAAATCCAACCATGTTTAATACAATGAATTCTGCTTGCTACATACACATTCTGCACTGAACCCACAGGAATCCACGGGTGGGGGATGAAGTTTTACAAAAGTCAAGATGGAAGTAGTAACTAGTATAATTATCCATAAAGGTAGTCTTTGTCTTATGACCCAGTTGAGACTAGATTTCTGTTGCTAAGCAAGACATTTGTTATTTTTGCCCAAATTCCTGACCTTTTTTTGTCACAGTTGTTAAACAAAATACTACACTTGTTCAGTGATTAAGTGAATCTGGCCTTCTCCATTGATCTTGCTTGTTGGAAGCCAACTGGGAAGGTTACAAAGTGATCCAAGGTGGCACAGTGGTTAAATGCAGCACTGCAGGCTACTGCTAGATCAGCAGGTCAGCGGTTCAAATCTCACCGGCTCAGGGTTGACTCAGCCTTCCATCCTTCCGAGGTGGGTAAAATGAGGACCCAGATTGTTGTTGGGGGCAATATGCTGACTCTGTAAACCGCTTAGAGAGGGCTGAAAGGCCTATGAAGCGGTATATAAGTCTACTGCTATTGCTATTGCTATTGATCTTGAGAAGCTGCAATAATCATAAATACATGCTGGTTGCCACGTGCCCAAATTTTGATCATACGGCAGTGGGGAATGTTGCAATGGTCGAAGTGTGAGGACTGATCCTAAGCCATTTTTTGAGTACGACTGACACTTCAAAGTTGCTAACAAATGGTTTTAATTAGAGGACCACCTGTACATGCAATGTGGCACATGCAAAAGAACAGGGCTTGAATTAGTGTTACAACTATTATCTTATTTTTTTGATGCCTTCCGCCTATGGATATCACTAATTGAACCTCATACTTCTTAAAAAGGGCTTCCTTGCAAAATTAAATTGGTACTGAGTACACAGATGACGCTAAGCCATGTCGGACTGGTATAGTTTTATCTTGATGTATGGTATGAACTGTTGGGATTTACAAACAACAAATTATAGATTTGGGAATCCAGCCAACTTTGCCCACAAACTATAGCACAAGATTAGGAGAAGAAAATCTACCTCTGCTATGCAAGACAGCAAAGACACTCTCAAATTGAGCTTGATTCCTGGTGACTTTATGCAAACAACAGAAATGGTCTGCAGCATTTGTTTCCCTGGATTTCCCCCCTCTTTTCTATGGCCACAATTTCCTGGTGGTTGGTCTCCCTCCTGACAAAAAAAAGCACTCCAAACTGCTTAGCTTCAGAGTACATCGAAGCTGAATGAGATGCTCTATCTTCTGATACTAAAGGCTTCTTTAAACCCAGCTCAGATCTGGATGATTTCATTGATTTTTTTCTTCACTACAATATAGGTGGTCTGTTTGAAATAGCAGTACAAATTCAGTCCAGCCTACAGACTGGGATTTTCCAGTGGGACTATATCCAAGCGATTTCCCTGTCTGCTCTGTGGCTTTATTTTCATGCCTCCAGGCCAAATTTCAGGGAGTTAAAAGGATATTATGCACACTCCTGAGCTGAACTGGATATTTTAAGGTCTGTGGGCTATATTTGATCCTTTGATTGTCCTTGTCCAGCTTTCCGCAGAAGTAGGGGTGGTGATGCAGCCTTCTATAACAGTTCATTTCTTATATGGTCCCTTGAGAACAATAACAGCCCATCCACTCAGTTTTAATCACCATGATATAAAAAAGATGTTGAGACTCAGCGCAGAGAAAACCAACAAATATGATTAAAAGGTATAGAGTCCCCTCGCACATACTTGCTAGTCGTTCCTGACTCTAGGGGGTGGTGCTCATCTCCGTTTCAAAGCTGAAGAGCCAGCCCTGTCCGAAGACGTCTCCGTAGTCATGTGGCTGGCATGAGTAAACACCGAGTAAACACACTGTTATCTTCCCACCAAAGGTGGTTCCTATGATTAGGGGACATTAAAACACATGAAGAACAATTTCAGGAATAGGGTATGTCTAGTTTAATGAAAAGAACTAAGGGTGACATGGTATCAATGTTCCAATATTTTGGGGGCTGCCACAAAGAGGAGGGGGTCAACTTATTCTCCAAAGTTCCTGAGGGCAGCGTAAACAGTAAATGTTATCTTATCAAGGGGAGATCCAACTTAGAACTAAGGAGAAACGTTCTGATGAGAAGAATGAATTGGGAACAGATTGCCTTCAGAAGTTGTGATTGCTCCATCACTGGAGGCTTTTAAGCAGCCATTGCAGCCATGCAATGACATAGGATCTCCTGCTTGAGGTTGGACTAGAAGACCTCTAAGGCCCCTTCCAACTCTTATTCCATTAATTGGTTATGACCCCTGCTCTTAGAACTGTGCCCTAGAGGTAGTCCTCAAGTTATGACCACAGTTGAACCTAAAACTTTTATTGCCAAGCGAGACTTTTTAAAGGGAATTTTGTCCCATTTTACTACCTTTCTTACCAATTAAGTGAATCACTGCATAGTGATTCACTTAACTGTGTTAACGGTTTAACGGTTGTTAAGCGAATCTGGCTTCCCCATTGACTTTTGTTTTGTCAATCATGTATGGGATAATAGATACATGTATATACAAGATTATGTCTACATGAAATGGAACAAATGAGGGCAGTAGGACAGGGATGGTAGGCGCGCTGGACACTTATGCATGCCCCCTTACAGACCTCTTAGGAATGGGGTGAGGTCCACAGTAGGCAGTCTAAGGTTACATTTGTGGGGGTTTGGGAAAGAAACCACTGAGTCAGGTACAGCATTCCAGGCCAATTGAGTTTGCTGGTCAAAAAGTCACAAAAGGGGATTAAGTGACACTAAGCAAGCAGCTGAATTTTGACCAGAGAGCCATGGGGATGTCACAATGGTCATTAAGTGTGAAAAATGGTTGAGTCACTTTTTCTCAGCGCCCTTGTAACGCTGAAAGGGCACTAAGCGAACAGGGCATGGGGATGATGGGCGAGGGAGAAAGAGGCCTGTCTGAGGGAAGAGAAACTTTCCCGCGCTTTTTTTCTTCTCTTTCTCTCTCTCTCTCTCTCTCTCCCCCCCCCCC